CTGAGAATGAAGGATCCTTTCTCTACTCTTATTCAATACATACATTTCTTATGTATTGAGAAATGAGTTATTAAAGCTGAGGGTGTGGGTCCTAATTGTGGCACTACAGCCTCTAAATTTTGGCCAAGAAAATTATGAGGACAAATCATAATGGCATAAAATATATTAGAGTTTGCTGAGCCATACTGTAATTCTTTGAGGTAAGTGTAGAGTTATGATAGAAGAATGAGCTGAAAGGAAAAAAAAATCAGCAGGAGATATATTTTATAGTAAATGCTGTTGCAGAGTACATTATGCTTTCTGGGACTGAATATCTAAAAATTTTGTTTCTACAATTTAATAATGTTCACATTTATCTCAACATTTTTTGCTGCTTTTAAAGCTGACATTTGTACATACTTTAGAAGCTAAGATGTTGCCCAAAACACCAAATGAGAATGTTCCAGGGATTGGAGGACTACGAAGTGACCTGGTATGTACCTTGGTCACCACAAGGTGTTACTCCTCATGGGTGACAAAGGAACATTCTGGACTTGTCCAACCTCTTTATGTCTGCATCTTCAATTCTTCTGGTTTCTAATCGCATTAATGTGAAGTAGGAAAGAGCCTGTCTGTCTATGTATGTTTTTACTAAACCTGAGATTGAAGTGTAGGAAAAAACAGGAATTAAGCATCTGGAACCATGAACTATTTGGCCAACGAACATTAATTCCTTTGGTTGCAAGAGTCTTTAAATAGTGAAAAGTTTTAAATGTACTTGAGGCCCCCACCATTGAGATGCCCATGCTGAAGGAAGACCAGCAGGACACTGTTGGATCCATGGGTGGTGCTATCTTCTGCTCAACTCATCTCTGTCTCCTCCTCTTGCTCACTCTCTCCCTCCCCTCTCCTTTCTACTTCATTCTATCTACCTCACATTTTACAGTTAAATAAAATCTGTATTTTTGACTTCAGCATATGATCCTGTTTGTACCTTAATTTGAGTAGATACATCTCAATAATTAAATCCTAACAATTTTTATTTTAGTATAACTAATTTTCATCCTTCCCTGATTTTTTATGCGGTGACAGAAGTAATGAACTAAAAAGGGAGAGGGCATATGCTCAAGTTATTCAGCATAACTATCCACACTATTAAATTGTGAGCTTTGCTTCCAGCATGGGACAAACTGCAAGGTCTGAGGCAATGCCCAGGCATGGTCGGGGATTAGCACCAGTCACAGACGTAGCAACAGGAACTTTGGATGCAACTCTGTTCTTGGGGGAGTTGGGATTGTTGCTGAAAGGATGCAAGCTCTGCTGCACCGCTCAACCTTTAGACCAATAAATGGTCCTGGGCACTTCATAATTACTAACAGAGATGAATTTTTAAGAGGTATAGGAAGGATTTTAATTGCTCTACCTGTCACCAAGCCCAATTATGTATTGTGTCTTCAAAGTCCTACTTTGTCAAGTTCTCTGTAACATGCAATAATTTTGCCTTTGGTTGCACCCTTTTTACTCTCATAGAATTACTTTTGTGCCACCATTAAAGGTTAACACTGTTGGAGATTTTATTTAACTTTTCTTCTAAGTAAATTTAAGGGAACTCTCATCTCTTTTAAATAGCTGATTTTTGCAGGTAGGTGGAAAAGAGTTATGAACTTTTAAACTGGCATTAATTCAGAGAAATTAAAAGTTATCAATGTAAGTTGTGAAAGTGAAATTACCCAGATATTCTCCTTTATATACTTATTATGCATGTATTATATAGATCAATATTGTTTAAAAGGTTAATCAGATTATCTGATAAGGACCTACATTTATTATACCCCTTGATTTAAGGAAGAAAACTAAATTATAGTTATCAGATTATATTTACATGTCAGAGGCAAAGGTTGCTATGGCTTTGTGAGAAAGAAACCACCGTATTTTGGAAAATTCTTTCAGAATATTGATAATTGGTATTTTAGATGCACTTTACTTTTTATATCAATTTTGAATTTCAGTTACCACAAATTTCTGTAATTGAAATTTGCTAAATATAACTAAAAATGCAAGAAACTTGCTTTAAAATAGGCATATTGCTTCAACATAATATTGCTAACAAGCTAAAGACACACCAGCCATACATTTAAAATAAACACATATCCATGTCCTTTTTCTCTTCTACCTATCCACCCCAAAATGTTCTTACCATTTATTTCAACCTGCTTCTGAGGTCAGAAAATTTCTAACACTCAATATTTTGTGGCTTTTAGAAATTAATAACCTTACAATACTTAAAGTTTGTACCTATTCATGTTAATTTTGGAACTCTTTTACTGAAAAAACAACTTAGAAAACAAAAGAGTAGGGAGAAGAGTTAATGGTTGAGGAGAAAGTAGAACTTTACCTTGCAGGCTTAGTAAGAGTATGAAGAACATTGACAGAAATTTCATAGAAGACAATGTCTCAAGTGAAATTAAAATTAAAATTTGCAAGCCACTATATTAAATCCTATAATCAAAATAGTCTGGTTTTCCTGAGGGATTACATAAATCTGGTCTTTTCCATTCCAGTGCTATATTTACAAGTGTGATGTCGAGTTTTAAACTTCTGATTCGTAGCTTCCAAGCTTTTAGAATGTCCAAAAAGAATATTTGCAAAATTTTGTATCCAGTCTCTTTTCTAAAAATGCTATCACTATGATTTTCATTCTACTAGGTGATCATAAGTGTCACTCTTGTTTCTGAGAAAAGGAGTTATGAAATCCTGTAGGAGATACTTCAGTGTTTTTTGGATATTGGCGAAGGCATTAAAATGGTTGTAGAATATTTATACAGCATCTGGGAATTCCAGAGAAAAAGACACACCCTTTCCATAGGTAGGATGCACACCTTTGTTTTTCAAAGGTACACATTAGCCATAGCAATTTAAATTAGTTTGAATTGCAATTAGGATACCAATTTAAAAATACACATAAATATAAACATTTCAACAATGTTGAAATGTTTATATTTATGTGTATTTTGATGTGTATGTTTGAAGTTGAGTGTAAAGTTGAACACTGTCAAGAATAGGCTGCTTTCCTAAATTGTATCTACTTATTCTTAATGAATTTTGTAGTTATTAATGGTCTTACTCTGCTAAATCTTAAAAAAAGGTTCTGAGGATATAATCTGCCTTCAGAGATAATTAATAAAGTGTCTTAAATGTAAAAATGTCTCTCTATCAAAAGAAACCTACAGTCTGGATAAACCTAATTTAACATCGTAGAGAAGTTAAATCTATGGCTTTTAAAAGCAATCCACATAGATAAAATGCAGATAAGAAGCAAATACACTTCATATGATTACAGTCCTTGTAATAGTAGTAGTCCTTCTATTCCTTAAAGTTCTTACAATCACAGCTAAGTTGTCTACAACCAAAACTGGTCACTCTAAAAAAGTGATATAAAGGGAAAAAAAAAAAAGTGATAAAAAGGAAAGTGATATAAATTTATCTGGGAAGGAAATATGGTGGAGTCTTTCACAGAGAGAAAGGATATTTGAGTTTCTTTGGAACTCTTCATTGCCACCCCACCTCTCAGGGCATACATGACTCCCTCTCTCCATTTCAGGACTACAGATTTTTAATTTTTTTTTCCCCGTTCTTTAAACCATTTTTCTGAAATAGTCTAGTCACATCACTGCAAGATGGAAGAGCCAAGCAGAACATTTCACTCACGATTAGTATGGAAAACTATAGTCCTATATTTTGCAGAAATTTAGGCCTATTTTCATTTTATATAAAAATTCAATGGCAGAATCATTCTAGAAATACAGGAACAAAATAGAAAAATATTTGAAACACCTAAAAATTTTTGTTAAACTACACGAAATAAGGAGTTTTCTTGAAACCAAAATTCCATCAGTCATTCAGAACATACAATGACATTTGCAAAAAGTTACACTAATTTTATCCTTTAGAAAGGGAACAAATGCTATTTCTGAACTCATTCTGTCAATTATAGGACTGCAACAGGACTTGAGATTCAGTGTTTTTTATAATGTGATTGCATGGCTTAAAATGTGTTTGGGCATTAAACCAGTTCCTTAGCAGAAACTAAGTTAAAGTAAACTTAATAAACATGCTCTCCAAAACCACGCATCTTCAGGAGCAGGTATTATTCCATTTCTTCCAAGAGAAGAAAATTTTCAATGTTTTTATTTTTCTTCATTTTACACTGAAAATTGCACCATCAAATTGATACAAAACAAAGCTCAGTGTCATCTGTTTAATCTTCACCTATGTGAACAAGATGCTGAGTTACTATAAACTATAACCTCAGAGATTTTGATGATATCTTGTACTTTAAATATTTCCTCAGTTTATTTGAAGACCATGTATGCATAGATAAAGAGCAAGGCCAAAAGATCTAAGTGTACACTCAGCAGGACACTTGATTCTAGGCAGTATTTTTCACCCTTAATTCCTCTAGCCTCAGTCAATCTGTACACAGGCATATTTTTTATACTTAAATCTATATCAGTGATCGGATTACAAATATTTTTCTCACAGTTATTAGATAATCTCCTTTATTGAATCTGGAGTGTTATCTGTGCAGTTAAATATCTTTCCTTTAAATATCAGAATTGCATTATGGTCCTAAATGTTCTGATTTTCATATAGTCATAATAGATTTAATGAAATAGCTTTAATGGTTCAACACTGATATAATGAATTTTAGTTCACTGTATATTAAAATTTGATGTATTAGCTTTTGGGGCTATTTTTGCATGTATATAATATGGCAAAAATAATAGGTTATACTCATATATCATCTTGGAACCATTAGTTCTAATCAGCCCTCTCACTAGAAACCATTCAACAGAAAATAATAAAATGTTTCCTTAATTCATAGAGCTTTGAACTTCTGGGAACTATTGCTGACTTCTGGCTCAAAGTTACATCATTAATAAACACTATACAGCTGATGTTGCAACTGAATTTTTGACCCTAAGTACTCCAATGCTTTTTTTAATGGGAGGGAAATTTACCTTAATATCAAAGGCTCCTGGCTGACCCACTTTGTTGTAAAGCTCTAGCTGGTTCTTGACAGGTGTTACCCACAATATCACCTGATTTAGTTGTTGATCAAGTTCAACAAAATCCTTTAGCAGAATCTCTATTTCTTTCTGTTTTTCTGGAAGATCTTTGGACACCTGAAAAAATACCAGAAGCCATTGTTTTAGTGAAAAAAACCCACAAATTAGAAAACATTTAATGCTACACATATATACATTTATATAAAATGTTAAAATACAAATTTTATATACTTGAAGAAGAGAAAGAAAAGGTAGACCTAACAATCAAATTATTATGCCAGGTATCTTGAAATTCAGTTAAAACACAGTCTGTCCTAAAAATCCCAGCAAAAAACCACAACACACATACAAAAACTTAAAATAAAATGTTTAAAACCCCAAATTTTACCATCAGGCTTTTCAGTGTTTTTAGTAAAAAAAATGTTATTTCAGTATGGTAATTGTTTTAAAGCTCAATTTCTAATCAGGAAAAAAAATTAAAGACATGAAATTGATCACTTGAATTATAGCTAACCTTTCTTGACCTCTTAAATATAGATCTTTATAAGCATGTTTTCTTATAAGGTGTCTAGAGTTGCCTACTGGATCCATAGATGCATAAGCAGATTCACATAGTGAAGAAAAATAATGAAGAAATATATCCTCAATTTAGATCAGGCAACTTGGTTTTCTGATTTGCATTCAAAGCAGTCAGATTTTAAACTAAGCACATTCTTTTACGCCAACAATATTAGAAATCAAGAATCAGTGAATGGCAGAGTTCAAATCCATCTCTGAAGCACTTTGAGTAAATGTAGGAACAGGTTGGCAATAAATGAGCCAACACAAAGCTCCATGCTGTCTTTCTCAGACTGTTTTCTACAGCTAGAGAGGTGAGGTGTCACAACTCCACACCATGGGCAACATTGCAAACATATCCTAGGGGAGAAACCATCTGTACATTCCAAAAAAACCCAAAAACCCAAAAAACAACAAAGCAGCAAATACAGGGCATGGGCAGATCCAGAACTATAGAGGTTCATCAGTAAAATCAGCCAAGAAATATGGTCAGTTTTCCAGATCAGGAAAAGTAAGGTTTCCTCACGTTCATTTTTTAAAGCATAATTTTTACCAAAGTAATCCTCTTAAAGGTGGCAAAACATGAGATTTCTGTGACACACAATATAAAATACATTCCCTTTAAAGTTAAGCATCTTTAATGGTAGCACCACTATCATATTGCCTGGCTACAGAGGTTTTAGTGCCCTGTGCTTCTAATCCCTGAAATTTTTCAGAAAACAATCAATCCAAGCTCAGAGTCATATAAGCAATGAGTGATACTAAAGCCAAGCCACCAGATGCTGGGAGAATGCAAGGAGCACAACTGTCTCATTACATGTACGGTTCTTTAAAAATTTTCTGTGAGAATATTGATTTGTAGGTTCTAAAATAATTTCTCTGCCTAATCCCTGCATGTGATTTTTTAGACTGTATGGAAGGGGTATTTGTAATTCAAGTTGGTTTGCCACATATTACATTGCCTCCATTGTTCATTATAAAAACCTCTTAACATCCTATTTAATGAAGAACATCCATGAAACAAATTACTTTTACTGTCTTCCTAATATTTTAAAATACAATTTAAAAATATGTTTTAATAGAATTTATTATAGATATAATATATAATTTTAAAATCTGCTTTTCCAGAATGGCTCCAGAAAAGAAAGAAAACAATTAAAAATGCATTCATTTCCCTTATGTGCTAACTCAAAATTTATGCAGACCTTGGCCTAATTTCATACAAGATTGGTTTCATCTTTCTTACAACTTTTGAGTGTTAATCTCTAATGTTTACTAGCTTTAATATTAATGTAAATAAGTTCCACAGAAATACAACTGAAAGAAAATAGGTAGTCATAGGCAGACAAAAATCCAAGCTAACTTCTGAATATCTGAAATTTAAATTAATCTGCTTCCAATCAACATTAATCAAGTATTTTGGGTGTAATATAGGAGAGAGAAAAAAAAATTGTAGAGGTTTTGAGGAGAGGAAGAGAAAGGGGGAAGTAACCAATTATATACTAAGGCATAGTCCATCCAGAGCAGCAGAAGTTGAATGATTAAGATTTGATGACAAGCTGTACTTCAGCCACTGTTTTCAAAATATTTATTTATCCCACCTAGGATGAGAGGTAAACTGTAATTTAAATAAATGCAGCCTCTTCTTACAAATTGTATCAAATTTGCATGTTCTAAAATTATAGCACAAATATAGGATTGCAATATTTTTAATATAAAAATAAAGAAATCTATTAAATCAGTTAATTATATATGGTAGTGTCATCTAATTTTACCACAGAGATAAAAAGAACAACAGCAAATAAATAAAAAACTTTCACCAACTCAGGTTGGGGCTACAGGTAAGTGTTTAACAAGGCAAATCCTTGTAAAACCCAAGTAATGTGTCACATGCCATTTTGTGGGGATCAGAGCCTTAGATTCTGGTTATAAGGGATTTCATTTGCCAGCTCATTGTGGTTTGTTTGGGGTTTTTTGTAAGCTCTGGCATAAAGCCGTCAAGCTGGCTAATCAAATTAGAGCCTGATGAGTTTAAGGTAATTACAAGTCTGCCTATCAAGCCAAGGTACTGTTGCAGACTGTCTCCTGGGGGACAGCTTGTTTCCTGAGCTAATTCTGCAGCTCACCAGAAGCACAAATTGGAAAACCTCCACGGAGTAATGGACATGGGCATGATGACTGGCTGTTCAGATTTATGCCCTTCCTGTGGCAGAGGAGTACATGTGGAGAGGGGCCCTCCAGAACCTTCCCTACTGTTTTACTCACAGTCCTTCCAGCCTGCTCTTCACAGCTCCAGGAGATGCACCCCTGAGGTGGGATTCCAGTGCTGGTGGGAGCCACAACAGTCCCACAGCTGTTGTTTCTGGGCTTTCTGAATGAGTTGGGAGAAGTTCTTGGATGCCTCCAGGGAGCAATGGGCAGCAGCTAGTGTCCCACTTCAATACTCTCTTTTATGTTTTTGCTTTGGGCCCCATCCTCCTTTTATTCACTTGTTGTCTTGGGGTAACATTACAGTGTTTATTTACTTTCATTCCCTTTGGTATCTCATGTCTTTCCGTCCTATTTAAGAAAGACTGCCAAGTTTTATCAGATGGTGGCTGAAGTTCTTTTCTGAGAGTGACAACCAATAGGAACAGTGGCCATAAGGCAAAACCAGCAGCAGAGTGAAAACGGGGCAAACATGAAATGCTTTCCCCAGGGTCTGCCTAGGACTGACACAGGCCTGATGAAGCAGTGCTACAGACTGGCAAGGAAGACAGGGTGCAAATAAAAAAATGAATTGAATAAAACTAACTTCAGTTGGAACATTTTTCTAAAAATCTGGGTTATCCCTTTCAGTACAAATCAAACATTTTCAACTTTTCCTTATTTCACAACAGATGAACATTGACAATACCCCTTGGTTTGCAACCAAAGATGTGAAATAAATTTGCAAGTGGAAACACCAAAAATATGGATTATACTTTCAAAGAAAACAAATCTGAGTTCAACATCAAAGGACAATATAATTTCAATGTTAAGTGTCCAAACATTAATCTCAAAGCATGTGATACTCTAAAATTTTGTACTTTAGTTCAAGTGCTAATTAAGTAAGATTAATTGGAAGCTTAGTGACAGAAAAATGGGAAAGATTTAAGCTCTAAATGACAAAACAGCAGAAGAGCTTAATTTTACCAACTGATACTGGTCTTCACAATATTCAATTTTATTCTAATCTGAAACTATCAGACCATTTCCCACATATTAAATTTTACTGCACAAGTAGCCTAAACAACACAGTACTATGCTGATTCTACCCCTACCCCAATCTGATTACTTTGGTGCCAAACCTTACCTAAGCTCATACTGGCAGTTTATATCACCTTGATCATTTCCCTTGTTCCAATTTTCCACTGCTATTTCTCATTTGAGCTTTATATTGTTATTTTTCAGTCTGCACACAGTTGTGTGCATGCACTATGGGAAGGATTAGAGCTCTGCAGATGCAAAGGAATATCAGTTCTTATGATAACAGGTATAAAGGGAGGAATAATTTTTATAAAGTATGTCACCTGATGTAAAATAATAGTCTGTTTGCCTATTGTGTTTAATTCTTATGAATATCCAGAAAGTAGATTCAATTAATGCAGTATCAATTAAAATAATGGCTGTAGAGTTACAGCTCAATCTTTTAACTCGAGAGCAATGCTCAAAATGAAAAAGTTGAAACTAATTAGGTAGAGACAGTAAGTAAGGAATATCAAATATTGGGGAATAGTTTTGCAAAAGACAGAAATGCTATTGCAAATTAATTAACTTGATGACATATTACTAGTTAGGCATCATTATAAATAAAAGTAAGGAAAGCCACTGAAATGACTTGTACTTATTATATTTCAAGTGACTGATGCCAGATTTCAAACATCACTTCTCTCTCACAAATCAACCTCTCTCCCTGTTTACCTGAAATGATTAAAGAGAAAATAATGCAGTTATTACCCAGATATTTGAGAATACAGATGAGGACATGCATCTCTCCAACATGTAATTTTTCCAAAAAGAATATGAAGAATTTTCTTAGTGGTAAGTGGAGAGCAAAGAAATCCCAAATCCCATCATTTTAACAGCAGTGAAAATATGTCAGTTTCTTCCTCCAATACTAAAGTACCTCTTTTTCTTGCTATCTACCTCACCAAACTCAAAGAGGACAGCACTTATAAACAGAGCTTATTTTGAGGAATCTGAGTGGATTAAAATTTAGCTATCCTGATATGGGTAGTTGCAATAAAGAGGAGCAAAAGTATGTGGTGGGATATCTGTGAAGACTTTCAAAATTGTTATTTTTGTATGGCCCCCTTGGGAGAATCACTTAGTTATACAAAGCACTACATGAAAATAGGCTTCAAATATAGGATAGCTGACAGTGTCACGTTTTAAAAAAATCAGAATTGTTTGCATAGAGAAAAATGAAGTATTCTGTATGAAGAACTGAGGAAGCTTTCTGTATGAATTTCTTTGCTTACTAAATGCAAATCAAGCAGCAGCTTCCTCTTAACCATTCCATTTCTGAAAAAAATGCA